TAAACACACAAAAAAAGAACTTGGCCAATATCCAGCCATCTTGACCTCACACTTGGTCAATAACCCATATATATTCGCGTGAGTTTAGCCAGGCAGTCGACTGCGACCGATGTTATTATTCAGTTGCGCGTTCACTCGGTACCGCCAATGTCAAACTATTTGACACAGTAACCATAGCAGTAACTTCAAAAAAATGAAGATAGTAACAAATGACGATCATGTGTCACCAGCAACTTGAACATTCTTTGTGCTGGGGTTTAGGATGCACAAATCACGAGTGCATTGGATTGAGTCACTTATTCTTAGTTATTCTGTTTCCACCAACTGATTTGTTGCTTTTTGCCTCCCGGTGTATGTTTTACAGCTATTTTATAGCCATACCTATGCTTTATTGGGAATGACTCTTAAGAACGAGAAATATCTTGTTATATTTTGAACAGGGGTCACAGTGAAACATAGGAATGTGCACTTCATTAACAACAGTCACTTTTAAACTCAAGTTAATTGATTCGTTACTCGTTCTTGTTCCTTTGACTAGATATCCAGCGTGTTTTTATTGGGCTGCTTGTAAGCCAAACTTGCATTCTTTGTTTTCCGTTCGGCTTTCGTTCGTGCCTTGTCGAAGTAGGGGTTTATCCCGACATCTTTGAATGTAATATCAGTTGTCTTAGACTTAACATCCTCTTTCTGCATCACGAACAACAAGATTCTATGTTACTGACACGGTTAACTTCATCACTAAGCGGTACTTGATAGAAGCTGTGAACGCGCTAAGACTGTCCTTCCACGAACATTTTAGGCCCTACTTTGATTTTGTCCTGGGAACGTCGATACTCGAGAAAATGAAAATGACCCGCACGAGGCACGTCTAGTAAGACATGCATGACAACCTCCCGTCAGGATTCGAGAAAGCAGTTTAGGAGAAGGGCGAATTGCTCAGATTTCGGGAGTTTGAAGTTCGTTTAGTTCAAGTGGTAAGGTATTAGATAGCTCTTCTAGCTGCTAAGATTTGCTTACCTTGTCTAGGGAACTTTGTAGGATCTTGCAATGATCTTGCATAAGAGCTCGTAAGCTTTTGTTCGGGTTTAATAGGTGCTCGCTCTGTGGTTAGCAAGGTAGGAAAAATGTTAGGAACGACTGAGAACTTGAAGGAGATCTGGTAATGAGGATCATTATTGCGTTATTACTGAACAAAAAAATCTTTGTCAAGGGGGCAAATTCTCAGAGATTTTTGACTTTGCGCATACGTGAAGAGATAGTCTGACTGTTCCCGAATTTCACATACATATTTCACTTTTTAATAATTCATATTTGACTTCTATTTCTTTCAAGCGACAAAGGTTGATATCAGTTTAGTCCTGTTTTCTTCAAGCGCCCACTCGATCGACGTATTATTCGACAAGTTGCTTAGGCACCATTACCATGACAACAGCTAAATTACACATGAAAAGCATTTGATTGGCTTGTAAATAGACCGCATTACGTCACCCTGTAATTATACGCTTTAAGTAAGGTTATAATAGCTTGAAGACACTTTTCAAAGAATGGTGAATTGTGTTCCAAAACTACATTGCTCTGCTAGTTTAGCGTTGTTATTACATCATCTGAGAGCAGTTTCTTTGCAAATAGTTTACCATCCAAGAGATAAATTCAGTTGCAGACGTCAGTTGGGAAATAAAGTTGGCTTCAAGACCCAACCTCGCCGTTTTTTAGACCCGACTGTCCACTTGAGGTCAAGACGTGGATATTATCACGAATCATTTTCACCAGATGAGGAATACACTCTTCGATTCCTTGTTGGAGCCTTAA